CTTATATGTTTTATTGACATATTGTTTAGTTATTACTAAAAATAGTTAAAAACATTCCACTTTTCTTTTAAAACATTGAGTTACCTACTTTGATTTTCTAATATAATATTAGTTTTAGACTTAAATATATGACCCAGTGTATATTCAAGGCAGGAAGGCATTACATAGGCATTAAGGTGATATCGGAGGCCTGCATGATATCACTGTGATCGCAGTTGTGGGAATTGTCTCTTCCAAACTACCATTTCTACATATAGTGTAGCCAAATAATAATTGTAATATTAATCATCTAACTACTAAGAATCAATCTTGAATCTCATACAAGTAATGTACTGTAAATATTTTATTAATGTTCTATATTCAGATTTTTCTCTACGTCGGTATGATATTAAATGTATAAAATACGAAACAATTGTATTTATTACTTATATTATTCAGATTGGCTTATATTATTTGGTTAGCATGAAAAAATTATATAGACAGTATAATATACAGGGTTAGTAAAAAGTGTGGAGACCCCCTGTTATTTTTTTAATGGCCCATACTAGAAAAACTAAACTCGGCACACCTTTATGACATCTTATGAAGTACTTTATAAGCATAACCGTCACTTGGTGTACATCCCCAAAATGGGGGATTTTGGGGAAAACTTAAAAATTTTTAATACAAAGACCCATCGAGTGACCCCTCATTTTGAAGGTCCTGGTAAAAGAAGACCAACAACGCAAACTAGAGGTCTTTATCTCAATCCAGTAAAAAATGGCAGCCAATTGAAATTCTCAGAAGTTAAATTTAACTTACAGCTTTCCAAGTCTGAAGACCCCCTGTAAATTTTCTAGCGGCTCACACTAGGAAAAATAAACTCTACACACCTTTTTGGCATGTTATGAAGTACTTTTTAAGCCTAATAGCCACTTGCTTACAAAACCCAAAATGGGGGGTTTTGGGGAAAACTCAAAAGTTTTAAATAATAAGCCCTATCAAGTGACCCCTCATTTTGAAGGTCCTGGTAAAAAAAAACTAACAACGCAAACTAGAGGTTTCTATCTCAATCCAGTAAAAAATGGAAGCTGATTGAAATCTTTAGAAATCGGTAATAACTTGCAATTTTATATTCAATTGGCTGTCATATTGTAATGTGTTAAGATAGAGACCTATAGTTTGCGTTGTTAGTTTTCTTTTATTATGACCTTCAAAATGAGGGGTCACTCGATGGGGCTTATCGTTTAAAATTTTTGAGTTTCCCCCAAAATCCCCCATTTTGGGTTTGGGAAGTTATGAGAATTTCAATTGGCTGCCATTTTTTACTGAACTGAGATAGAGACATCTAATTTCCGTTGTTGGTTTTCTTTTATTATGACCTTCAAAATGAGGGGTCACTCGATGGGTCTTTGTATTTGAAATTTTCGAGTTTCCCCCAAAGTCCCCCATTTTGGGAATGAACACCAAGTGGTGGTTATGCCCAGAAAGTACTTCATAATGCCATAATGGTGTGCCGAGTTTAGTTTTTCTAGTATGGGCCGTTAAAAAAATAACAGGGGGTCTCCACACTTTTTACTAACCCTGTATTATTCACTATTTAGAAACCACCTGCAGGGAAGTGGCAATTAATATCTATGACTAACATTGAAAATAGCTTTATTTTTTATTTATATCGTTCATACTCTTTAAGTACTTTTATAACATAAATCATCGGTCATGACTCTACTGATAGTGTTTTAAAGAGAGCAAAATGCTCTGGTCTAAATTAAAATCATCTGAAAATCAAATAACTAAATTGAAACATAAAAGACCAAACTACACGTGCCTAAGAGCTACGAAACATTACCTGTCACTGATGAAAGGCATAAAAGCCCATAACAATGTTACATGAACCTATTTAAGTAACTTTCATAAGCGCTTTGAGTCAATTTATTCCAGCCACTTTACTAAGATAAGAGTAAAAGCCTACTTACTTACATTATTTTAACAACATTTAATTAAACATCTAAATATATGTTACTAAATATAGTCCTGGACCTTTCTGGACCAAAAATTCATTAAATATTGAAATGTTATAAAAGTACTTAAAGAGTTTTTACCCTTACGTGAGAAGCAGGATACCCCTTTGGGGTTTACACTCATGTCGTTCACACTTGACTTTTTAGAAATATATCTCCAGTTTAATAATATTTAAAATATTCAAATAAAAAAATATTGTTTATTCAAATAGAAACTGTTTAACTTTCCCAACTGACAAAACCCATCCACAGAAATTTTACAAACAAACCATTATTTTTTTGTAAATTGGTACAGGAAATCAATTTGAATCTTTGTAAAAATAATGCCTTAACTTTAGGAATGTTTTAAGTAAACCCAAAGAGTTTTCAGTTATGGTGTTGATGTGTAAACAATAAAATTAAAAATCAAAATGTCCAATACACCTAAAAGAACCAACCCTATGTTGAAAAATCAGTGCAGTCCATATACAATGAACTCAGCACCAATAACAATCAAGTTGATGAACGTCCAACGCAAGATAAACCAAAAGAGATACTGAAAGTTTGTTACAAATGTAGGATGACGTCACAGCTGGGTTCGTGATTGATAGTCTTTCTCAAGGTTTGTTGCTCTGTATTGAACGTCAACTCAAGAGCCTGGTCGATCAGCTGTTCTATTTTCACACAAAGAAAAGTACAACATACTGAAGAATAGAATTATAAGCAAACCTTTTAAGAAAATCGTTTTTGTTTTGGTTTTTTTACCACTTTTAGGTCTAGGTAAGAATTACTCTCAAATCAACACCGGGGCAATTGTTTTCATTATTTTTTTAGGTATAAAATCCTAGTATATCGCTAATTTTTACCGTACTCTTCTATTTTAACTTTAGTTTGTTTGCATAATGTACGATGAAGCTACACATCAAGATATTCTTTCTACAAACCATTCAGCAAATTCCGCTCATTCAAGGGTATTAAAATAGAATTTTACTTTTCTAATGCGTGAAAAAGTACAGTATTGCTGTTAGTAAATATTTCACTCTATATCCTTCAGACCCTTTTAAGACAGGACTGTTAATCTGAAAATATAATTTTTATAAAGATAAAAATATATACCTAAAGGTATTGAGTATTGTCATGGTTCCGGCTAAATCATATACTTTTTGATTATTATAACAAATTGTCATATTTTGTGTCAGTACCCTACCATAACATACCAAAGGCCGAGGAGTTTAGGATTATTTAATTTAAGTATATGTAGTTTTTTTTGTACTTATTCAGATAAACAACTTAGGCACACAAGAACAAACTAGACCTTTGTTCTTAACCTTCCCTTTTCTGCTATCTACTATTGTTTACTTTCTGAGATAACATTTTGAGTAAAATACACATTTTAATATAATTTATCATTAAAAGAGAAACGGTCCAAGGTACCGTGTCTAAACCAATATATTTTAGGTTAGAATTAACTTGGTAATATATTATTCAACCACTAGCAAGATCTTTGGGCCACCCACCAATCCACTGACGTATTGAAATTCCTGCATTTAATTAGTTGATTAAACTTGAGGTTACTTGATAGTGGCACTGAACAAACGTTTCCTGATATAGGTGGGTTTGTCACCGAATCCTCGCAAAAAACTATTGTTATTCAGATAATACCCAGAATGATTCTGACTCACTAAGGTTTATATATTCCGCGATAACAAATTGTATAGTCAATAGTTACACATTTTAAAACGAAAATTGTTAACTTAAAGAGGTTAGTCTTTTCTTAAAATTTTGTGTGTTAACTATAAATTTATTTTCGAAATTAAAATCATTTCCTATTCCTAATTAGTATTTTTTTTTTAAGCAATCAATCGTTATTTATTTTTTTTTATTGTTACACTTGCGGTTGTCAAATTGTAAATTTTTTTGGTATTTCGATAAAAATCTGAAGCAATGAATTAATGATTTCCTGAAAAAATTAATTTCAAATCAGGTAATGTTAAGGAGTTTTGTAGACAATGCAAGTTTATAAAACGACGTTTATGTAACCCGTCATACCATTTGTATCCCCATATATAAGGATAATACAGCAGATCCTGGGTAGAAGCCGTTGTGCTACATACTGCTTGGTTTGCGCACTGCGTCGTCACGGTCGGTACCGCACCTTCCGCAGTCGGCCAAAATTCCGAAGGAAAGATTTCTAGGACATCCCGACGTCCCGTATTGATGACGCATCCGCCGTCTGAAGAGCACGTTCGGCACGGTCGGTACGGACGTTCCGACATTAACTTAAACAGACTGATAAAGTCAATGCTGCTAGTCTCTCCTTAGGACTCACTGCATGTAGCAATTCTTCAAACTTTTGATGTGTCATCCGAAAGTATTGAAAGAACTTGCAGTCATCTTTTTTTAAGTCTGAAAATAGAGCGTGATACCCTCCAAGTTCTAATCTCTTGCGATTTATGTTGTGAACCCAAAATCTGCGTTTTGTTACACTTCTTGACTTCTTTTATTCTTCTGCCACCACCATTAGCCTAACAACGATCTCTTCTTCACTTAACATAGCGTTCTCTTCACTACACATGCATCACAAAAGCTATGAAGTGACTGTGTTGGTAACTACCAAAACTGCCGAACGTCCGTAACGTACCGACCGATCCAGTGCGCGCAGCACCTCTAAAAAAGTGCGGAACGTCCGTACCGTCCGTCCGTGCCGCCCCGACCCAGTGCGCGCGACGCTTTAGTCACTATGCAATTCATATTTGTCGATTTTGTGTCTTGATAAAACATTAATCTGGTTTATGGTATGATGTCTCTTGTAATGTTGGTCCGTAACTATTTATTCTGCTTGTTCATGCACGTATTATTTTGTAATGAGTTGGATCATTCAATGCAATCTGAAACCTTTTCTAGTCTTTTGTATGTATATTGTGCCATGTGTAATTGCCCTTGTATTTTTTTGCAAACCATCTTGTTTTGATATGTATTGTTTAATGGCATTTGCCGTAGGAATAAGTAAATAAATAAATATAAATGAAAACCAATGTAATGATTGAGATAGCTTTTACCAAACATATTTGAAAATAAGAAAACAAACAATGAAATTTGATAAAAGTAACGTTAACTTCTTGCAATTATAAATTCTTACGATTTTTTCTTGAATGTTTTCCAGTGTCCTGTATGGAGTGAAGAGAACCAAGGACCTATATAACCAAAGTCTAACCAGTAGTTCAAAACGTCATACATATATTCAAGGATGTTCATGTAGCACCTAAATATTATCCAGTCCCTGATATTTCTGGTTGTCTCGTCTTGAATGTCACGGAACTCGTTAGGCATGACTTCTCTACCCACGTCGGGCATTGGCTGCAGACCGAGGTATCTCACATAGTTCCAGACATCACACAATACCTGAAATCCAATACAGCAGTACACTTAATAATTGGTGGGTCAAATTTGAAAGGTTTAGAGTTTTGATCTATCGAGAAAAAAAACAATTCGTGTTACAAATATTTCATTTTGTAAATGTAAGGTTTCTTTCGTAATTTTGTACGATACCTTGGTGAGAGCGGCTGCAACTTGACGGACGAAAACTTTTTGTTTTCACGTTTAATTTTAATCCTACAACTAACCTCAGTACTATACTGATAATTAGACAAATTCGTTAATTACAATGGAAAAATGTGGTATAAACTGTAGATCCCTTATTTGCCATTGACTGTATGGGCTCAAAATTAACAGCTGTGTCTAAGGAATAATTCGGCCTTAGTCACTAGCAAGACTACAAGATCGTGCCACTCATCCTACACTCATATCCGTTCATACTTAGCTTAAAATACCCACATTCATATGGTGGCAATTTAATGAAATAAAAGTAAAATACATTTGGTTTTAACTGTTAGTTAGCATCGTTAGCTGAAACCCCAATCTTTAGTCACGTTCAGTATGATACGACTTAATTTAAGTTAATCCCAGTTCTTCTTCCCGACAAATCTTTAATTACGCTTGGTTATGTCCCTTGAGCTACTTTATATTACCCCATTGTCTTTGTTGTTCTAAATGTCTCGAAAGTTATAAAAATAGATAAATGAATAGTACTTACTAGATTATTTGTGTACCATATATCCTCAAACGCTTCTTTGTATTTAGGATTGCCTTGGTCTGCCTCTAGATGCCAGTCCCACAGAACTTGTTCTAAAGCAACATCGACTATTTGTAACCAATATGTACACTGCCCCGCCCATCGGTCAAGCTGTAACATGGTTTTTTTTTATAATACTCAACAAAATATTAATATTCGGAAAGTCAATAGTTATTTGTGCATCTAGTGTGCGAAGTGGCACTTTGCTATACATGAGAGAAATATTTTCGCACGAGCCGCAGGCGAGTGTGGAAAGTTCGTCGAGTGCAGCAAAGTCACTTTGCACTCGCGTTACACATTTTTCCTACAGTTACTATATCAGTATTTTAAACACTGTACAACACGGTTTTAGGTTAGGTTAAATCCCAACGTTGAACAAAATGGGAAAGGCTGCACCAGCTGATCGTAGTTGTAATATATTTAAGCGGCAAACTTATTTTTAAACAAACACAGATGTATAATAAAAGCACGCTGTTTTATGTTGTTTGGTTGGAATATTGGTGTGTACCAAAGTTAAATCAGTGTGCCAAAGTAGGGCTTTTTGTACTATAATCTGTGCAAGGAAACCCGCTTTGCCAGGTAAACTGTAGGAAAAGTTAATTTAATTATTCCTTACTCTTGATTTTTTTATGACATAAATTTACGAAATTTGCGTACCTCTTTACCATACTAAACCTGAAAGAGTGGAACAATCATGAGTTATGCATGAAACATCCAAGTTAAACGAAAATTGAAATGTCCAAAAACCTTATGGTATGGTTACAAAATGTTTATCTCTTAGTACAATTTTAATTTGCTGGCCTTACATATAGAGTTTTGAGGTGTTCCTTTGGAGTTTTCTCTCCAAGTTTCTTGGGTAATTTTGGAAGCCATTCGTAGTCGTGGTTCGCCCATTCGCGATTATGTTGGAAGAAATTGACTTGAAAGGTCTCTTGTACCTGCACATTACGGATTTTTATGTTTATGGTAGGATTCAAAACAAATACTACAAACTTCAAACTTAAATTAACCAAAAAGATTTTCAAATATTTGGTACAATATTTCTGATTTATTGTAAACCTCCTTTTAAACTTATGAGAACCTTTATTTATCAACGGTTCTTTAGGAAGACAATAGCACCGTTCCTAGTGAAATTCTTAACCCGTGTAGTGTGCTACGGTGAGGCATTCAACTATTTTCAACTAGTGCAGAAAGCAACTCTCAACAAATAGATAGCCGAATTAAATGTATTTGCAAAGCCCTTTGTTAAAACTGATCTACAGATTTTTGTTTACAAGAGTTATGTGTATAATGATCTGCATGGAAAAATGCAAACTTTATATGAATACAAACTGCCATACATAAAGGTTGACAAGATCCCCGTACATAGAGAGGGCCTGCTTTGTTATAAGCTTCCAAAACATGGATTACTGTACATGAAAAAGTAGAATACAGAGTTAGCCTTAACTGTAAATACAATACAGCAATTATTTTTTTTAATTTAGAAATATATACTATATCTTTTAGTAAACACCGTACATTAAGGGATAAACCAAGAAGATACTTACATATCTCTCTCTAAACTCTTCAAAGCTTTGTTTAGCTTTTCCTAACCACATTTGAGTGACATGAAGCATTGTTCTCCACTGCTCCCCGGTCGGCCTATAACTGTCCTCATACCAGATGGACTGGTACATGTATTTATGTTTGAGTCCGCAAGGGTTGATCCATTTCATTTTCCACTTTCCAGGGACGGGCTTGCGTCCTCCCATCCACCACCATGCCCCACCATGATCCTCGGCCAACACGGTGACGGAGCAAAGGAGCAGACAGTATGCAACTGCAACTAAGACAGAAGTATTTTGAGTGTGAGAAATTCTGCTGACTTCTTTTCCCATAAGGCAAAAGCTTGTTGTAGACGACTAAGGTGGGACAAAGTAAATTTTAATGAATACTGTTATTTAAATGTCTGATTGTTTAATAAATACAGTTACCATTCATCAATTATGTGATACTAAATAAAATTAATAGTCCTGCCAGTATTATGCGTACGTTAAATGCTGTAGTGGATGTATTTAATTTAAGAAATAAATATGTTTATTTTATTTAATTTTTTCTACACGAGATGGTTAGGTTAGTTTGTTTTTATGTGAATACTTAACTCCAAAGAAGGAAAACAGTCTAAAAACGTCTTACAGCGTCGTATTTAGTACTTTACCTATATTTATTTATTTATTTATTTATTTATTTATTTGTTAACGGATGCACCATTTTTACATGAAAAATACAATAATCTTACATACAGAAGCAGAAAAAAAATCACAGGTCAGTACAAAAGTAGTGAAAAAAACTGGAAAACAAAACTTCCATAACAAGACATAAAAAGATAAATAACAACTATAAATAACAAACTATAAATAAATAACTATGAATAACAAACTATAAGTAACAACTATAAATAAAAAACTATCTGAGCAAGTTGACAAAACGAGAGATTCAAAAAACAAAACTAGTATAGGAACAATACAATGATGCAATGCAGTAGCCGAGTGAAATTTCAGTAAAGAGGCAGAACAAACTTCAAGAAAACAGATAAAACATTCAGAAAAATAACAATATAATAAACTCTGTACAAGAACAAGATATAACAATAACAACAGGATAGACTATATTAACAAAAATAAATAACAATGCAATAAATAGAAAGTTTGGAAACAACTATAGTTGTAAGGAGCGTCATGTAGAGAGATATGAAAGTATGAAAATTAACCTTATATTTTGACCGGTGTATTTTAGACTAGTAAACCTATAGAATGAAGGATTACTAGACTGTACTAGACTGTTACAAAATAGCTGAGTAAATATAATGCTCACCTAACAATAAAATGGTCACCGGCCCAGCTGTTCCTGATCATTAAATAAATGCTCCTGATTGATGAAACAGCTGAACTTGGTCAGTAACAACAGATCATCTCACACCATCTACACTCACTAGTTAATTACGCACCTAGCTGGCGTTCCAATCTCTAAAAATTGGTAATGATTGAATGCATGATTATATGATTTCCCCGTAATACATATGTACATATATTTCTAAAACTAACCATACAAATATAAAAGAATGTGTTTGTATTAAACTAGACATTTCTAAGATAACTGAAACCATGGTGTAACTTACCGTTCAATGCAATTTGTTTAAAATCACAAGATTTTTGAGTCTGGTAGTCCAAACACTTTAAAGCGTTCTGAACTAAGTTTGTTTCTAGGTTTGACTTGACTAACCGAATGTTTTTAATGAATTACCTTGCTACCATTGGATATATTAAAGTCACTGAACGTTTCTTTGATGTAAAATCAAAACAATTAAAAACCCTAATGCAATAGTATTATTCGAAAAGCATAAAATATATTTATACAAAATGGTGAGTCTTACCTATGACAGTAACCATTTCGTATGGTGGCTTTAATTCTACAAATTTTGTTTCATTTGAGTATCCTACACAAGGTGCATTCAGATAAAGAACTAACTGTGCACGCTATGCAGGACTTTAAATGTTCTATTTGAACTAAAAACTGCTCAATTTATTTTCAATGAGCAATCAAATTTGATTTAATGTTCTGAATTTTCATAACAATCATCGTATCTCAGTCGGTTCACATCAATTAAATGTAGACCTTTAAACGTATTTAATGACACATGATATGATAACACAGCGATACTATTCACAGCCAACCAATCTGTTCGCACATATGACATAAAGATATAATTTTTCGGATAGGATAAAATCGTATTAAATATTGTTGTAGTTGTTTTTATTTTAAAACCGTCAGATCTATTTGCAACACCCTATTATCCCTGGAAATAAATTTGGATGTTAGCAAAACAACGCTATTATACTTCGACTGAACAAGGAGTTTTGTTATGTTTATGATAACCAAATAATCGTTTTAAAAAGCAAAACATCCAATACACCTAAACTAACTAAGGACTATGTATTCTACAACATATATCACTCAACATTTATTTTTTGCACCTCTAGATCATAACAAGCATTCATTAACTGTACATAGGAAGATAAGCAGTTTAATTATGTACCTATAGAATAGGAGCTAGCAAAATATACCACGGTAAAAGATTTATAACATCTTGTTTTAGTTTCATTCCTGATAATAGTTGTACGAGAAAGAAAGCGTTTCTTTTGTTTCCTCGACAACACAATTCGTTTATTAATTAAAAGATACCAGTACTGTATGTAAATAAGAAAATGATTATTGCAATGTAGGCTTAATGAATAAGTAGAGTAAACAATACATTTCTTTGAAAATATAACTCCAATAACATAAAATGTTTACCGGGAAAGTCACTAAGATGTGAAAAAGAGAGATTCTTCATAGAGATGAATGGACCCAAGACGTGACTTACAGACAAGTCAACTATTTTTCATCTCTCTTCGATTGGCAAAAATGGCGAGGGAGATAATGAAATTAGATCAGTTATCCAATTTATTAATGATTTAGAACAATTATTCATTACAGAATAATACCAAGAATATCGCTTTTACTTTCTTTTGTAAATCCTAGAGTAATCTTTAGTAAATCTTCATAAAAATTACATGATGTAAGAACGCAATTAACATCATCCTATTGTCTATTGGTAACAGTAAAATTCTGCAGGAAAAAGTTAGGAAAAATCAGATTTATTGATAAAACTTTGGTCCTTTTTATGAGACTACTTGTCTCATAAGCCACCAAAATTCCCAAAATTAAAACTAAATAGAATCACATATTTCTATCTTATCTCAAAATGGATATTTTTTAAACATCAATTTTACATACCTGTTATAAATATATAATATTGTAGCAGAGGAAGAATTTTATATGATATACTTTCGATAAGGCACAAAAAATGCAGGTCTATCTATATTTTTGTTCAAAGAACTGTCGTAAAAAGAATGTTATTGGATATATTGTATGGAGGACAATTTGAGTCTGAGCTAACAAAGAGATCAGGTCAGCTATAGCCAATGTTTGTTCAGTTATGATATCGTTTTCCGCAAACTCAATCGCCTTTCTTGTTTGCATTTTTACGCAGTTGTTTTATATTGGTCAATTCACTGTATTTTATTTTATGCATTCGAAAATCTCCAATACCGGCTTGTGAATTGATTTTTTTTTATTTTACAGTTTGTGTTCAAACGCTAGTCTTTTTTACGTTTGTGTATAGACTTAAACCAAACCCTGGTCGTGTTACTATCTAACATCGATCTTTTTTGTTGGGTGGCATATCGTTCTATCACGTTAGACAGCCCAATGAGAAATGGCATCTGGTTCTAGTGACGATTTCGCTTGGAATTGAACCAGCAGCCTTTGGATTTGAGACCAACACAGCCCTCACCAGTCGTATATGCAACCACTCGGCGCTTTTTGAATATTTTATTGTGACTTTTTACACCAGTAATACGTTAGTGTATGTTAGTAATATGTTAGTAATAACACTCGAAAAATTAGATGTCTGCATTGTGTGCAAGTTTAATTTTATTAATCGTAAATTTTAAGTATTCAATGAACCCAAATGCAAGTAAAATTGTTTTGTGATATATTTGTTCAAAATACAGTTAATTTACCTATAGAGTTTTACTTGTCTTTTTAGGAAAGTAACTTAAAAAAAACATGAAAAAAACTAACGTTAAGTAAACAGCTGCAGCATAGATAAAGTGTTGTAGGCTATACGAAGAGACAAAGTTTTATTGCAGGTTTTAGGGAAGTAAAAAAGCGCATGATATCCCGTCGAGTTTCCACATTCATCGTCGTACAGGATGTAGAACACGCCGCAAAACTCCATAAATTTCACGTTCCTGGTTTCCATCTAGTCGTATCTAAAGCTACATTGCAGAATTATCACTTCACAAACATTTCAGATTGACAATTTTTACATTTATTTTATCACAAATAAGTATAACAAGAATGTTTGACTATAAGATGTTAAATTCATGAAAATATATGTTTTATGATATTTGCATTACACTAGGAATAGAATATTTGTTTTGTACAAATAGTGTTTTTATAATTTTTTTTTATGTAGCCAGAACCTAAAATCAATGTTCTAAAACTAACTTAGGCAACTTAACTTTGTTCATTTTTTGTTCATTAGGACAGTAAAATACTTAGAAAGGCCTGCGTGGCCTCAGAATGGTTTTGTTTATTGTAAAGGCGTCATAATAAATGTTACTTTAACTAGATTATAAATAACATGGTAAATTTTAAATTTTACAAATATAAGCTACTTACTTTGAGTCAAAAATTGTTTACGGTAAGTCATAACTATTTAGAAAAATAGCTCACAACAGTATCCTTAATACATTCCAAGGGCTACGATCATTTATGTTAAAATTAATTGTCTCAAAATTGATGGACTAGTATAAAAAAATCATCATTTTCGTCTGTTTTTAACTATTGCTAAAGCAAGAAAAGGGTATCAATATTTAATGACACTCAAACCATAATCAAACTCTATTACTAATGAAAATATAATTCTATAAAAGTGAACTGCAATAAAAATTTTTTGCATAAAAATATTGCATACACAATAAAGACAGTAACCTTTTACAAAACGTCCTTATTATTAAGAATATTTACACTGATAAAGATGAAACATCGGAACTACAGCTTACTTATATCAGTAGCAGTTATAACAATCCAGAGTACTTGTCCAAGCCACTAAGTGTAATCTTAATTGATGAAGAACAACAGTCTTAGTGGCGTGGTTATAATTAGGACTATAATTCATCTCCGTTGTAGAAGCCAGATTCCAAAACAAAGTTGTAATTGTTTGAGCCTGATTGTAGATTGTCCGCACACTAGATAGACTTTGGTTACCGGCTGTAATTTTCAAACTATAATTACATTTTACAATGCCAAAGTAATATTAATTTAGTTATTTTCTTGGTAGAACTCTCATTAATATGAGCCAGGTGTGCGTTTCTACGTGTTTAATATTTGCTGCCAGCAGCACTCTCTAGGACCTCCCTTTTAAGGTTGAAACTTGTTACTCGTTATTTATACACATATTTGCCATGACATTTTATTATTGTAACACAAAAATGTAATAGAACATTGTAATATCACCTTCATTCAAACGATAACACACTCGATTGCATAGCCCTCTATGCAATACTTTGTTTATGCAATACTTTGTTGCATAAAACGTAAATTTAAAACTCGTCCACAATTCTGTTACATTTTCCTTCCTTATGTGATTATTGAAAAAGTAAAATATGTGAAATAACAAATCGGTTTGGCCAAAAAAAAGCATACACCCAAAACATACACCCTTAGCAGATTTCTCATCCTTATGGATCAGACTAGGAGCTGAAGACGATACTTCCAAGAATTTAATTATTAGTATCGTCCGGTGCACTGTATCGTGTCTTGTCTACAATTTGTTTCTTGTTATTTCGGTTATTTGAAAACTCTTTAACCAAATAAAACTATTAAATCATAAACAACAACTCGTGCCCTAGTTATATAACCGAACAGTAAAGTTCGACCCTTCAAATAAATAGGTTGGTCGGTGGCTCAGTTCGTAGCGTCACGGACTTCGGGTCCAAGGCAGCGATGTCATGGGTTCGGATCCTGGTCACTGCCACTAAAATTTATCAGTACAGTTCACCTTTGTACTGTACCGGCTTGCCCCTTGCTTTGCTGGATACGTCCCATGCACAGATTTGTAGTCTATGTGGACGGGCAAATGCAAGGTTAAAAGAGGTCGCCAACCTCTAAAAAAGATTGAAAAATTTTGTCGACACTAATGATCAGTGCCACCAACATGAACTAGACACGAAAAACAAGCTTCAAATATTACATTGGGGTGAAAAGTCTGCTTGAGTTGGTTAGTATATGATGTAACTAAACATATGGATGGGTAACGTTTGAATTATGTTTGATTTATTTATCAAAGAAATCACTGTAAATATTATTGTAAGCAGTTTCCAAGTATCATTAGGAAATATCTTTCAGCCAATAAAGGTCAGCTAGCATTTACTCTTATATGAATAATGAAAAAATAAAAAAAGATAATTAACAACCTACAGGAACCTACTGTAGAAGGGCCATGCTCAACTGGAGATGTAGAAATAAAGTGATATTGAACAGCGCGATATTGAAAACGCTTTATAAAGTGGAGAAATAGGTTCCAGATGTTATATCTATTGACAGATTCACAAAACCTTCATGTCATTCGTTGTACGTTGATGGCTGTGAAGCTGAGCGTAAAATATTGAACAAATGTTTTCCTTTAGATTGGATGTAAAAACCTTATTTTATTTAACACACTTTTAGCAAACATTATTGTTCACGACATTATATAAATCTGAAAGTAAAAAAAATGCAAACGTTTCCCTTTTTTGCTGTGTACCGTATGTATAATAATTTATGTAAAAAATGTGTAATAAAAATTCGAATTTCTTTCATCACTAATAAGGATCTGTTCGTATATATGACATGAAGATAAAATGTTTC